CCAGCCGCTCTCCTTGGAAACTCTCTCCAGGGTCACTATGCGTTGAAACTGATTCAACTGCTCTTAACAATAACAATCTGTATAGGGGCAGGCTGCCACATCCCCCAGCTGGTGAATTCAAAGCGCCAGCCTTTTGGTCAGCAGCCCACGCTTAACCACTGACCCACCAGGGCTCCTTCTTCACCCTCACTAGCATGCCAATAATAAAAAATGACTGAAAATAACAAGTGTTGGCAAGAATGTACAAAAACTGGAGCTCTCACAGCATTGCATATGGTGCAATGTAAAACAGTGCCGGAGTTTGGAAAATAGTTCATTGGAGGCAAAGGTTAAATGTAGTTACCACAGGTGCTGCTGCTGAGTATAATCAAACCAGTCTGACTCATAGTGGTACTGCATAGGGTTTCCAAGGAGCAGCTGGTGGGTTTGAACCACCTACTTCGTGGTTAACAGTTCAGTGCTTCTCCTACTATGTCACACCAAGACTCCGTATGACCCAGCAATTCCTCTCCTATATCTACCCACCCAAGATAAATGAAAACTTACATACCAGAGGCGGGGAACCCTTTTTCTGCCAATATTTATAACATCATTCACAAGCCATACCAAAGTATCAACTTAAAAATTAACCTGCTATTATTTGGTCAAACATTTAATTATCTCACCCCTAATGCACTAGCATATAATCAAGAGCCAATGATACTGAAGGAGGAAGTCCAAGGTGCATTGAAGGAATTGGCAAAGAACAAGGCACCAGGAATTGATGGAATAAAAACTGAAATCTTTCAAGAAAGTGAGGTGGGCACAGAAGGCACTCACTCATCTCTGACAAGAAATTTGGAAGACAACTATCTGGCCGACTGATTGGAAGAGATCCATATTTGTGCCCATTTCAAAATGAGGTGACCCAACAGAATGCGGAAACCATCAGACAATCTCTTTGATATCTCATGCAAGTAAAGTTTTACTAAAGGTAATACAGAAACGGCTGCAAGCATACATTGACAGAGAACTTTAGAGTTTCAAGCCGAATTCAGAAGAGGACATGGAATGAGAAATATCATTGCTGATGTACAATGCATCCTGGTACAAAGGAGAGAATATCAGAAAGATGTTTACCTGTGCTTTATTGACTACGCAAAGGCTTTCGATTGTGTGGATCATGACAAGCTATGGACAACATTATGAAGTATGAGTATTACGAAACATTTAATTGTGTTTATGAGGAATCTGTACCTGGACCAAGAAGCAGTTGCTCAAACAGAACATGGGAATACTGAATGGTTTAAAATTAAGAAAGGTGTGTGACAGGGTTGTATCCTTTCACCATACTTATTCTACTTGTATGCTGAGCAAATCATCCGAGAAGCTGGGTTATATGAAGAAAAATGTGGCATCAGGATTGGAGGAAGACTCATTAACAACCTGCGATATGCAGATGATACAACTTTGCTTGCTGAAAGTGAAAAGGACTTAAAACATTTACTGATGAAGATCAAAGAGCACAGCCTTCGGTATGGATTACATCTCAATGTAAAGAAAACAAAAATCCTCACCACTGGACTAATAAACAACATTCTTATCAACGGAGAACAGATTGAAGTTGTCAAGGACTTCATTCTTCTTGGATCAATTATCAACATTCACGGAAGCAGCAGTCAAGAAATCAAACAACATATTGCATGAGGCAAATCTGCTGCACAAGACCTTTTGAAAGTGTTGAAGAGCAAAAATGTCAGCTTAAAACTAAGGTGTGCCTGACCCAAGCCATGGTATTTTCAATAACCTCATATGCATGCAAAAGCTGGACAGTGAATAAGGAACACCATAGAAGAATTGATGCTTTTGAATTAGGGTGTTGGAGGAGAATATTCAAAGTTCCGTGGGCTGCCAAAAGAACCAATAGATCCATTTTGGAAGAAGTGCAGCCAGAATGCTCCCTGGAGGCCAAGATGGCCAAACTTCGTCTCTCATACTTCTGACATATTATCAGGAGGGACCAGTCGCTGGAGAAGGATATCACATTTGGTAAGGTAGAGGGTCAGAGAAAAAAGAGGAAAACCCCCAGAGAGATGGATTGGCTAAGTGGCAGCATCGATGGACTCAAGCATGGCAACAATAGTGAGGTTGGTCCAGGATCGGTCAGTGACTCATTCTGCTGTGCATAAGGTCCCTATGAGTTGGTACCGACTGGATGGCACCTAACAACAACAACAATGCAGTGGTGTGGCACTGTGGGTTAATGAGCATGATCGCAAAGCCGTCTGAACTGCAAGGTCGGAGGTTCAAGCTCACCACCACTCCTCAGAAACCCTATACAGGGTCACTATGGGTCAGAACTGACTCAACAGCACTTAACAAACAACGCACTGGACTGCAAAGTTGGTTTGAACCGCTAAATCAGTGGTTCAAGCTCACCAGCTGCTTCCTGGAAATCATGCACAGGGTTGCTATTGGTCGGAACCGAGTTGATGGCACTTACCAACAACAACAAGGAGTCCAGAGTCCCGATGTGGAGCTATAGGTTAATGCAGTGGACTGCAAGGTCGGTTTAAATCATGAGACCGATGGTTCAAGCTCACCAGCCGCTCCTCAAAAATCTCCATACAGGGTCACTAGAGGTCAGAACTGACTTGACAGCACATAACAATGACAATGTAACGGAGTCCCTGTGTGGCGCTGTGGGGTAATGCACTAGAGTGCAAGATCATTTTGAACTGCAAGGTCAGTGGTTTAAATTCACCAGCTGCTCTGCTCCTTGGAAACCCCTATACAGGGTGGCTATGAATTGGAACCGACTTGTCAGCACTTCACAACAACAACAAATGTAATGGCAGGGCCAGACCAAATGAATTTACAGGCCTTATATATCCCGTGGGCTGGACATTCCCACCCCTGCTATACAGAAATGTTCATAACAGTATTAAGTTAAGAAGTACAAACAACCAAAAGTTTTATCAACTGCCAAATAGAGAAATAAAATGTGGAATAAAAGAAAAATTTATAGATTGTTGTTGTTGTCGAGTGCACATGGTACAATATACGGATGGGCATCAAGAACATTAAGCTAAGTGAAAGACGTCAGTCACAAAACCCACATATTCCATGATCCCATTTACACCAAATATCCGGAAAAGACAGTAGTACATTGGTGATTACTGGGGACAGAGAGGAGGTAGGATTAAAGTTTCTTTTGGGGGTAATGTAAATGTTCCAGAATTAGACAGTGATCCTGGTAAGGCACTGAAGAATCATGCACTAGACTTCAAAGTCAGTTTGAATTGCAAGGTCGGCAGCTCAAACCCACCAGCCGCTCCTCAGAATCCCTATAAAGGGTTATTATGAGTCAGAACTGACCCAACGGCACTTGATAACACAGGATGCACAACATTGGGAATATACTAAAAACTACTGGCATCTACACTGTAAACTGGTTAAGATGGTTAATTTTACAGTTTGTAAATTCTATGTCAACAAAGAAACTGTTTATTAATCCCTCCCCCCAGATCACATAGCCTGCCACGACACTCTACTCCCTGCTGAAAGCTCCCGGACTGGCTTCCCGTGGCACTAGGAGTCAAACCCAAGTTCCCTCAAGTGGCTACAAGCCCCAGCATGACCTGACCCTGCTCCCACCTCCTCACTCCTCTTTCCTCCTCACTTGCATCACCCCCTCACTTTGCTCATCCATCTGCCTAGAAATGCTTTTTCTCAGAGCCACATACCCAGCCAGCAGCACGGCCAGCTTCTCTTCACTCAGGACTCTGTTCAAAGGCCCCTCCCCAAAGGTTCCCCCTGGACACTCCATGTAAACGCAGCCCCATCAAGCTCAATCTATTACCTTGCTTTATTTCTTCCTATACCTTACCACTATCTGAAAATATACAACTATATGTACTTAAAACTTGTTGATTTCTTTACTGCCTGTTGCTCCAAGCCCCAGGCAGGGACCCTGTCTGTCAAGTTCACAGCTCTGAACATGCCTTCACTAAGAAAGAGCTCCTTGAAAACCCACTCTGGATAGAACAATGAAACGTCCTGGTATGGCGCTGTGGGTGAATGCACCGGACTACAAAGTCAGTTTAAATTGCAAGGTCGGCAGTTCAAGCTGAGCAGCCCCTCATCGGAAACCCTATACAGGGTCACTATGGGTCAGAACTGACTTGACGGCACTTGACAACAACCTGGTCTAGAACCGAGAGAGCTGGACATTACCAGCTACTTTTCCTTCAATAAGCACATACTGAGATATCAGTGGATTAGCTATCAGTGGAGTCCATCCAGGAAGAGAAGGCCTGGCAACAGACTTTTCAAAGATACTGACTCACATCGACCTTATGGAACTGCAAAGAACTTCTCCCTAGGGTTTTTACAAATCTTTACGGAAGCAGTAAGCCTCACCTCTCTCCTGTGGGGTGACTGGTGGGTTTAAACCGCCAATCTTGCAATTAACAGACCAATGTTTCATTTACCCATTGTGCCACCAGATCATAGCCACTGAAAAAACCCTGACTCTAAGTTGTGCTGTGATACACATGCAGTAGCTATCAGTGGAAGCCCCACCCTAGGCCTGTTGGAAATACTGGGGACACAAAAGGAATGATCCCTCCCTTCCTCTCCTCAAGAACCTCAAAGTCTTTCAGGGGTCAGAGAGCATCCAATGTTTACACAGCAACCCACAAACAAACACCAAGGAAAGCTGGAAAGATGTATTGTTGACATTCATGCTGGAGGCCAGGGTCCAAATGGGCCCTTGTAAAACTGTGTGCCAGCAAACACCCTCTAACCAGGCTTCAGGTGGCTGCAATCTGACCTGGCATCCCAAATGAGACGGTTACAGCTACCACCTGCTCCCCTCTCTTCCTCCTCCTCCCGTGGGGCTGCTTCTTTTCAGTTGCAGTTAAAAGTCTAAACAGACAGGTGGTAGAGACATCTTCCCCGTCCCTTTTCCTCCTCCCTGTTTCAGCATCTTTCTGCTGCCCGCCTGGCATGGCACTCACCCACGAGGAGTTTGACGTCTCGGACTGTGAAGTCAGGGTCAGGCATCCTAGAAGAGGGAACACAGGCGCTGGGTGAGAAGCCAGGCATCACAGAGCTAGACCCTATCCTCGGGCAGGAGTTGGTGATGCTTTCAAGAAGGGTATCTTTACTCCCCATTTGGGAACCCAAACAGACCCCCCTCAGAGGAATGGCAGCAAACTAGTTATAGGCAGACTTCAGAAGTATTGTAGGCTTGGCTCCAGACCACCACAAAAAAGTGAGTTTTGTGGTTTCCAGCGCATATCAAAGTGACACTGCCATTCCACTGTGGCCTCGGAAGTATACATTAACGTGAGGAAGAGGGGACACATAGACCCAAAGTGACCGACCACATGCTGGAAAAATGGTACCGAGAGAATTGCTCAAAGCAAGGTTGTCACAAGCTTCAACTGGTTTTATTTTTTTTAAAACCTTTGTCTGGGAAGTACAATAAAATGAAGCATGTATGTATTACTTCAAAAGACAGTTACTTCCGAACCAACAGCCCTTGCCCTTCCCCACGAGGAAAACCAGTCCCCTCCCTCTTCTGCACCCCTGCACCCCAAAACAGATGATAACACTGGGGTATCCACTGCCCACTGACTTCTCCAAGGAAGAAGAACCTAATGTACGGAAAATTGTGTAGACAAATGTTTTCTGTTACGGTAGTTAACTTTCTGTGTGTCTCATTTTCCCTCTAGAAAATACTCCCCATAAAAGTTGTGAGGAGGCTGGAGGGGACCCCCTTTAAGTTCAAAGGGATAAAAAGCCATACATCATACTGATTCCAGGCACTTGTCAACATTGGATAGAACGACTTTGGGGCAAATGATTGTTGTTGCAACGCCTTTGAGTCAGTTCTGATTCTTAGAAACCCTGTATGAGGTTTCCAAATAGCAGCTGGTGGGTTTGAACTTTTGATCTTGTGGTTAGTAGTCCAGTGTTTATCCTACAGCGCCATATCAGGCAAATAATTAATGGCTGCTAATTGAAGGGTGTCATGGTATGGTGCTTTAGGATAAGCACTGGCCTGGTAAACACAAGGTCAGCAGTTCAAGCCCACCAGTCGCTCTCGGAAACCTCTCAGATATTGGGTCTGGTATGGCGCTGTGGGTTAACGTGCCAGACTGCAAAGCCATTTGAACTGCAAGGTTGGCAGTTCAAGCTCACCAGCTACTCCTCGGAAACCCTATACAGGGTCTCTATGGGTCGGAACCGACTCAATGGCACTTAGCAACAACAACAAATGAGCCAGAACCAATTCAATGGCACTGAATAACAATAAAAATAATTGAAAGGTTGTAAGTTCAAGTCCGACTCCATGGCACATAACAACAAACAACAAGTTCAAATCCACTCAGACATGCCTTAGAAAAAAGACCTGGAAATCGACTTCACACACACACAAAAAAGCCACTGATGATGCTACAGAGCACATTTCTACTCTGACGCACATAGGGTGGGGGGGTCACCATGAGTTGGCGAGGTTTCTAGTGACTGAGTTTTCCCTCAGTATAATTCAAGATGATGCAGCAGGTTTCATCCCTCCCCAAAGGAATGAGTGCCTTAAGCAATTTTGGCAGACTAGGCTGAATGGATGTGCGGAAGAAAACCAGTCTAGGATAACAACCTCGGCCTCCTCCCCTTCCCCCACTGCTCAAAGGTGGAAACCTGTTCATCCAGCCTGCCTCCTGCTCACTTCCCAACCTGGGGCTCTGACAGATCTCAACGTGGAAGAATGTAAACAGGAGGCAGGAGAACCAGGCTACTTGGTCACACAAAAGTGAGACATGGGTGAAGAACTCCAGAAAACATGCCCTTCCAAAAAAAGAACCAATTTGGAACCACAGAGTGGGAGTCTGAGTAGAGAATGGGTACTTAGGCACCCTGCCTCAATACTTATAGAAAAGTCAATCCTCACACCTTAGGCCTTGCTTCACTTTCCCGATTTGGTTTGCTTCTCTTTAGGAAGGCCCTGCATGTATCTGTAGAAAGGTCAGGGATTAAAAAAAAGAAGAAGAAACGCAACACTACTTATGAACCCTAAATCCTGCCTGCCCAAGTTGTCAGAAAGAGACCAATCCTTGGACAAGTTTTTTTCTCCCTTTGTCAGAAACTAACCAACTAACCAAACCAAACCACAGAACTGGTTCTGATTTTTGGCATTCCCATGTGTTTCAGAAAGGCCTAAAGCAAGAAGCTTCTGACTCTTGATAATGAACAGCGATCCTTCTTGGTGACAGGAGATGGCGAAAAAAGCTATTAACCATGTCAGGGAGGAAGAGAGGGGTTAGAAGTAATTAATTTCATCAACTTACTTAATTCCTAGTCCGTCCTTTTCTCGGAATATCAGGGGGACTCTAAGAGCTTCTCTCTGCACATACTCATAGTTGAAATCTGTTTGGATGTTTGAATTAAAACAAGTTGGTTAATTCATGAAGGAATAAGCTATGATCAGTTGATTAGGGAAAGGATAACAATGGCGAAAGGGCAGGGAGCATGCTTGATGCAGGACAGACTCAATGGTAAACGCTCTCTGGGAAACAATGGGAAAATGGGTGAGGCAAAGCCCCAGCAAAGCTGTGCCAACTCACAGCTCTTCTACCCACTCAGTCATTCCTTGCGTGCCCCACGGGTCAGAACTTGTCAATGAACAACTCAAGGGTTGGATTAGGAGGCTCATGAAAGAGCCACACACAGAAAGAGACATAGTTATTGAAGGACAGAGACCTCATTCCAAGCTGAGCTCAGAAGATGATGTTGTTATTAGGTATAGTCTAATTGGTTAGTTCATAACAATCTCATGTACAAGAGAACCAAACACTGCCGTCCTACACCATCCTCACAATTGTTGCTGTGTTTCAGCCCACTGTTGCAGCCGCTGTCAGTCTATCTCCTTGAGGGTCTTCTTCTTTTCCACTGACCTTCTATTTCATCAAGCATCCTGTGGGTCTCCAACAATGGGACCCTCCTCATTACATGACCAAAGTACAAGATAAGAAGTTTCACCATCCTTACTTCGAAGGAGCATTCCAGCTGTACTTCTCTTCCAAGACATGTTTATTCTCTGGCTGCTGTTAAGTGTCATTGAGTCGGTTCTGACCCATAGTGACCTTATAAAGGGTTTCTGAGGAGCAGCTGATGAGCTTGAACAGCGGACTTTGCATTCAAACTGACCTTGCAGTCCAGCGCATTAACCCACAGCACCGCACCAGGACTCCTTTCTTCTGGTAGTCCATGGTATATTAAATATTCTTCCCCATATCATGATTCAAAGGCATCAGTTCATCTTCAGTCTTCTTTATTCTTGTTCCAGCTTTCACGTGCATATGAGGTTATTGAAGATACCATGGCTTGAGTAAAGCTCACCTTAGTCCTCAAAGTGATAACTCTGCTTTTTTTTACACTTTTTAACAAAAAGTAAATCAGCAAATGTAGGGATTACAAAATAGAAGACCACCACTCAGGAGGATCTGAAGCCCCAGGGAGGAGGTTGGGAGGAGGGCGCCCATTGTAGCTGAGTATCAGTGAAGATCTTATTGTAATAACCCTGCATAGTGAAGGGGAGGGGAAGAGAGCTTGTTTCCCTGGAAACTGTGTATTTGGTGCCAAAATCACAAGGAACTGGGCACAGTGCTGTTGTCTGTAATAGGGAAATTCTGTTGCAGCCATCACAATATTTGTTTCAACTACATAAACAAGAGGGATGCTTCCTAGGTGAGGGCTAGCAAAGGGACATACACAGTTAAGGTCTAACAAAACTCATAGGGTCCTTTTTCTCTAGCAGTATCCTCAAACTCCTTATCCACAGCCCTGGAGAATGAAGAAAACCTTAGACAGTTTGCTTTCCTTACCAAGTTTCAAAACCGGGGCATACCCCTGAATAAGGAGCTGAATGATGTGGAGATAAGTCTCCGTAACCAAAGACCATCTTGTAACCAAAGCAGCCCAGGAGGACATAGCACTCCCTGGTCTGTGAAAGGGACAAGGAAGAGGCCTCAGACCACTGAAGGCTCTGTCCCAGGGAAACAGTTCACCAGGGCAGTCTGGGGGGAGGAGGAGGCCAGGGCAACTGGGCTCTGAAGAGAGGGAACAAAACCCAGAGCCTGGAAAGCCCTGACCCTCAGAGGCTCAGAATCCCAGGGGCTCTCGGTGAATGGGGATTCCTAAGGATTTAAAGGAAGAGAAGTTTTAAGAAGCTTCTATTTTGAATCCAGCCTAAGGGATTCTTTTTCTCAGCTCCTCACTTGCATTTTAGGGCCAGATAAGAAATAACTAGCAAAACCCTCTTGCCTTCTACTTTGAAAGGAGCCTGGACAGCAAATTTAAGGAGGATACATTTTAGAACTTCCTTTCAGAAGTATTCCACATGAAATCCCCACCCCGCCCCACCCCCATATCCACACACCCAAAGCCCACCCCCTGGGGTCAGGGGTTTAAGGATAGCTTCCACTTCCTCAAAGGAGCCAGAGAGAAATAAGGCAGTGAGACCCTGGTCTAAGAATTCCTCACAAATGGTGAAGAAGAGTTTGCATATTGTTTTCCAACAGGGTCTGCCAAACAATTCAGTAAAACAGGGGGAGAATGGAGAGGAATTAAGGCCCAGAAGGAAATTTAAATGGGGTTGGGACTAGCCTCTTAGACTCCACAAAACTGGCAGGCTGGAAGAAATGTCTTCTTCCCTCCCCCACAACTGCCTGACCACCAAAGCCCAGCGCCCCAGGAGGTCATGGGCACAAAAGAGAAACTTCAAAAATGCAAAGCCGGATGGTGGCTTCTGGGGGCTAGCCCCACAGCCCCACAGCCCCAGCCTGCTCATCCGGAACCCTGAGAAGTGAGGCGCTTTCCAGGGTATCAGCTCTTCAAGGAGGAATGGCAATGGTCTCCAAGAGTTGGAAGTAAACAAAATTAAAGTAAACTCAAAATATCTGAGGGGAAAAAAAAAAACCTACAAGCCCTATAAGAGTATATAGCGAGGTCTGGATCACCAGGGATGCTTCCAAAATTCCACCCTCCAGGCAGAGATGGGGTCTGAAGGGAAGGGGTCACGCTGGAATCAAGCTAAAGAGGGCCTGGGATCTGGAGGCCTCAAAATCAAACCAGAGCGTAACCCCCAAAATCTGAGGGCGTTCCTTGCTGCCCCCCTGCTATCAGGGGCTAGGAGAAACTCAGGCCCCAAATTCTAGAGACTTCCCCAAAATTATGCTTGATAAACTGACCAGGTCCACAAGAGGAGGGAGCTCTCAAAGTCTAAGGTCCGGGAAGAGCAAGGGGTGCCTCAATCCTCACTTCAAACAGCCTGCCTGGGCTGGCGGTAGAGGACCTCAGCCTTCATTCAGTCTGAAGAAGTCACCCCTGTTATTCCTAGTCCCAGCTTCAAAGTGTCAACACTGCAGGTCTAGAGGCATCAGGCGTAAGTGGGGACGTCACCCCAATAACTGCAGTTCGCCCAGTCCCGCTCCAACCAGGCAGAACACACAGGGAAAAGGAGTGCAGCAGGCCCCAGGCCTTGAGTGCGGGCGTCACCCAATAATTCGGATGTCCTTTGCTCCTAACTGGCAAGGACCGCGACAGCACGGGGTTCTGGAGGCTTCAGGCCTGGGGCGAACTCACCCCGGTACCCCGAGAGTGCCCGAGTCCCAATCCAACTAGGCGGTGGCACCTCAGGAGGTGCGCAAGGAAAAGGGAGAGGAAAGACTGCGGCGCTCTTGCCCTCCCTCCATGCGTCAGTTAGTCTGTCCCGAATCCCTCGGTCTGCGCCCCCTTAGATCTGCCCACCCAGTGGCTGGTGGTGGGCGCACGCCGGGCCTAGGCCCACGCCTGGCCGCGTTCCCTCCTGTCCTTCCTCGCCACCCCACCTCACATACACACACACACCCCCTGTGCTCGGCCTTGTTTCGTCACCGGATCCCCTGGAATGGGGGACGCGGGCGCGAAATACGAACCCAAGCACCAGCAGCTCCCTCCCCACGTGCGCGCGGCCCGCGGTGCAGAGGGCTGCACGGAGGGGGCGCCTCACCTTTGCCCTCCATGGCGTGCACGAAGTCCCCCTGGTACAGCTGGCTGCGTAGCTTCTCTTCTAGGCTGAAGCCCCGGACGCTGACAATCTCCTCCACGTCCGACAAGTCCTCGTTCTCGTCGTATCTCTGGCGGTCGATCGGGCGCTGCGGGGACCCAAACCAGAGATTCCTTGACGTTATGGGGGGCATGAGGGTCGTCCCTCACCTTGAATCCGGCACAAACAGGTGCATGTGTCAGGAGCCCCCTGCACCCCACTTTTGCGCCCTGAGCAACTTTGCGCCCTAGCCAAAGATGCTGACAATCAGAATAAGGAGAGGGGCCAGCACTCCCAGGTTAGGCTGCGTCCTACATGGACACGAAAGTGGAGACTAAGGAAGGGACATCAAGGGGGTTCTCCCTTGCTTCCCACCCCCGAGGTGTATGGAGCTGTGCCCACTAAGCCAGCAACGCGATTATGTAACCCGGGCAGGGGCTCCGACACGGACTGGTGAGGTAGACATAGGCCCCGGAGGCGCTGCTGCAGCGCCCGGCTCGGCGGTCACAGAGCCCAGAAAGAGGCGGCGGCGGCAGAGCCCGGCAGTTGGAACCCGGGACCCGCAGCATTTCTGAAGCTCGAGCAGCCGGGGGAGCAGCCAAGCGGCGGTGGAAGGACTGAGCCTCCCAGCCGCCTCCGCCGACCGCCCGCCAGTACAAGAGGAGGTGAAGGGGGGCTCCGGGCTTGGGAGGGGGAGAGACAAGCTAGCCCGCCACAAAGCTTCCATCGGAGACCCCCAAACGCACCAGCAGCTGCCTCATCGCCCCACCAGCGCGCGCGCACACTCACTTCCTAAGGAGACTCCCCCACCACTTCTCGCATCCCCCTACCACCTCCCTCCACCGCCCGGCCCCGCAGCCCCCGAGATCCCGGGCGAACCCCGAGCCCGCTCAGCTCCCCTCCACGCCTTTCCCCGCCACCACCTCCCCACTTAAAGTGTCTGAGGCTCTAAGCCTCACAAGAGACTGGAGGAGTAAGCTGCTTGCTTCCTTTTGCATGCAATTTATTATATTTTTTCCGGTCTTCTTGCAAAATACAGAAAAGGAAAGAAAAGGCAGCAGGAAATGAACAACAACAAAAAAAAATTATCGTATACCAGATACAGATTTGGGGATTAAAAAAAAAAAAAAAAGCTACACACCAATCTTCTTCCAGAGTCTTTCTCTGCCTCCATTTTTTTTAGGAGAGTTCACCAATTAATTGTCAACACTCCTGCCCCCAGCATTTTGGCCGAGGGGGGAAGGAGTGAAGACCAAAGAAAACAAACCGGAAAATAAACAAATACAGCGAGCCAGAGAGCGGAGATCTACAAAGTTTTGCACCAACACTTGGGCAGCTCCGTTTGCAAAGTCCTAGGAAACCATTTTCAGCAGTTGTGGGGGGGGGGGGGAGGAGGCGTCGACGTCATAATCCCCGGAACGTAAACATTGTTGCCGATCGCGCTCCGAGCCTGCTGCTGGGCTAGTTGTTGGGGGGCCTCGGCCGGGGTCGGGGGTCGGGGGCTGCAGACAGAGGAGACTGGGGTGGGGAGGGGGCCCCGGAGGCCCTGGACGCCGCTAAGCGCCCCGGCATCACTGTTTTGTTGTTGGGTCACGAGTGCGCCTCTGCACGCAGGCGCCGCCGCCGCAGCCGCCGTCGCCGCCGCCGCCGCCCGGGAGTAGTGTGCAGAGCTGACTTTTGGAGGCTGACTCGTCTGTGGCGGGCGCATCCCGGAGATGGCGGGGAGGGGGGCGGCCGGGAGGTGTCGATTTGCACGGCTGGCCACAGCGGGAGGCGAGCGAATGCAAGCAGAGCTTGCAGGCGTGAAAATCCCGGGACCCGGCACCCCCTCCCCAAAACGACCCCCACCTCAGTCCCTGCCCCCATTGCCCAGAGATCCCCAAGGACTGACCCTCTTCCTTCATCTTCTCCATCCCATTTCCTATGTATGTGACCAACCCCTAAGCATTTGTGTGTGTGTGTGTATATATATATATATATTTTTTTTTTTTTTTTTTCTGCTGCTGCATGATTTTCCCCTAATTTCGGGAACGGAGGCACAATCTTTCCGGAGCTTCCATCTGCGGACCTTCGGTCATATGGAGATGATACACTTTGGGGCTCAGGAGGAAATTAACACCACCCCATACCTGTCCGGACTACATTCTGCCAAGACGCCTCTCTCTGGACCTCTCCCACCACCAACCAACACACACACACAAAATACAGCCAAACCAGGATAACTAGGAGATGTTCTCATTCATTCATTCATTCATTCATTCGACTGCCTCTGAAGAGTCCTTTGCCAGGTGACAAGCCCTGAAGTAGAACATGGACAACGTTTAAAGGTCCCTGTGCTCTCGAAGAGGAAAGAAGTCATCAGAAGTGAAATGAGAGAATCAATCGTATCTGGCAGCTTCTAACAGTCCGTCCACAGGCAAGAAGGGTAAGCCCTCAAAGGTCATTTCTAGGAGAAAAAATTTGCAACCTGCTTGGCACAGAGAACTAGATTATTCCTAGACAACTTCTTTGTGGTGGTGTGGGCACCCTATATACATAGGTGTCTCTGATTAGATCTGGGCTTGCATTTCACATCCTTAGTGTTTACCCCAAGCCCCAGAATTGTACACCTAATCTGCTGATGTATATAAATCCATCAAGAACAGCATTCAGATCAACATTGGTTTTGTGACGTCAATCCTAATATGCCTCCAAAGTGCATTCTGGCATTATCTGAGGCCTCATCCACCTGTTTAAAATAAAGAACTTTGTAGAGGGTGAGAACAGGCTTTGCAAAGAATTGCATGCCCTTATTTCTACTTTTCATTTACATCTCCATCACCCCTTCGCAGTCAAGACAGGCCATTTTGTAGATGGGGAAACTGAGGCTCTGAGAAGTTATGAATCTGGATGTTTACTCTGCCATCAGGCAGACTTGCTTGGAGGAAGTGGCTACTCTAACTGAAATCGGATGTGAACAATCAGCCTTGTATAGGTCACCCTAAGAAACAGCTTCCCACTCACCCACCTTAACATTTCCTGCTCTATCTTTCTGTAATTCATTCCCACCCACCCCAAAAGGCAGCTCTTTGAAGTATGTTTTAATCAGAGTAGTCTGCCTGTAAAAATCTTTTAGGTAGAGAATAGCTGGCAAATAGCACAATTTGTTTCCAAACTCAAATCCTCCGCAGTTGGCGTTGCTTGAAGCTGGAGCATCCAACCCACAGTCCTTTGTTGGCACAAGAAGAAAGTTGCTGCCTCAGCCTACATTAAAAACCAGGACTTCATTTTATTTGCTTCTCACTTGCTGACAGCCACCCTTTAATAAAGGGAAGTCATAGTTGTATTCCCCATTTTGCAAAAGAGGAAGCTGAGACTCCAAAAAGCAAAGCCGCCCACCCAAGATGACATGCTTTGCTGAAAATGGAAGGTCCTAGTGCTCCCACAAAATGAAATAAACATATGCCAAGGAGGACTTGAGGGCTGCCTGAGTACAAATGGTAAGTTCCATGAAATAAAGTCAAACTCTGCCAAAATTAATCTTCCTAATTCTCCTTCCTTTTCCTCTAGAGACTTCTACCTCCCCATGTGGCCTCCTGGAGTCTCCCCAAAGTTGGTGTCAGGAAAAGATATGAGGGCAGCCACTTTTTGGGGGAAAAAAAAGTGAAGTCCATATATCACTGTGATGGGGAGCTCTGGGCCTGTCAGAAGGGGAAAGGATTGAGTCTTCACCCAATTTAAATCCCTTCCCTTTACAAACCTCCAGGAAACCTTGCACCCTAGAGAAGAATGGGCCTGCCAGGGGTTGGTTCCCCTTTAACTCCCCCAAAATGCCTGCCCTGCCGCCTGGTCTTAAGTGGTCACTCAATAAATGTTGGGTCTGTGATGGATTACCTTCCCCACCGATATTTGCATTTTCCCTTTATCAGTAATTGGCAGATGAAAGGCTTTGTCCTCTGGCTGAAAGAATTCCAGGCATTTGCTTGAAGGTGGGGGAGGTTATTTTGGGCCAAAGGGGGAAGGGCCAAGACCCTAGAGCTGGCAGTGTAGGCTAATTGTCCCCAGGGAATAGAGAGGAGTGTAAAGGGAAGGAAAACCTAAAATTCTAAGAAATGAACTTTTTCTTGCATGAGAAAAATAAACACCAAATATGTTCTAAACATAACTTCCCAGACCCTCCTGATCAGTTGTAAAAAAGGCCCAGTCCAATCCAGTTACCTGCATTCATGTCTTCATACATCAGGAGTCCATTAAGCAGTCTTGGTGTGGCGCTGTAGGATAAACACTGGATTGCTAACCTAAAGGTCAGGGATTCAAACCTACCAGCTCCTCTTTGAACACACTATACAACATCACTATTTGAGTCAGAAATGACACTTCTGCAGTTAACAACAAGGTCCCTCAAAAAAGATGACAGAAAAACAACTCCTGTGTTAGCCAAGCTTCCTAGATGGTACTTCCCAATGGAATTAGTTAGGGATTCATAATTCAGCCATGAATGGGTTAAACTACATTGGATTTAACCCACTCATGACTGAATTATTTTCAGCTTTGAATTTTTTGTTGCTATCGTTTTTTCAGTAATGAAAGGCATGCTGAAATAAAGGGAAAGCTTTTTTGTAAGGTAATTCAGAACATATATGTCCCAAGTGGGCTGTGCTGATAGGATTGGTAGGGTAAGACCCCTTCGTTTGAATTCACTCAGGCACTCATACACTACAAGTGCGACAGCAGCTTCCCAAGAAACTTGAGAAGCTGAAAATGTTGGTGGATGAGATATGTGATGCTGCGGTTGTTAAGTGCCTTTGAGTCAGTTCTGACCTAGGAGCAGCTGATGAGTTTGAACAGCCAACCTTGAAATTCAAACCAACCTTGCATTCCATCCAGCACATTAACCATCAGCGCTAAGTCCTTTATCACTCACAAATGGTCAACTCTAAGTTCAGTATGAACTCTGAACACTGATTTCCATTAACACTCATAATATCCTAGCTATGATTTGGGGGGCTTTCCTATGGACATTTTATTAGCAAAGCTCCTCACATTGGTTAGCTGTTAATCCTCACCAAAATTCTTCCAGGGAGGGGCCGGCCGTCAATCCCCACTTTTACAGCTGAGTCTCAGAACTTCACAGCTGTGTAAAAACCAGCAGGATTTGAACCCAGAGCTTGTCCATAGCTCACAGGCTTTACCAGTCCCTGCAGGGAGGTCTCAGAACAAGAAGATGATAATGTTCTCTATCTAGCCTGTCTGGTACATGTGAAGACTGAATACTTGGAACAAGGCTCACAGGATTGAAGAAGTGAATTTAATTCAATATGAATGGCTACATGTGGCTAGCTTTGACCTTACTGGATAGTGAAGCATCATGTATTTTCTAGAATGTGTGTTGTTCTTGTTAAGTTCCATCAAGTAATTTCCAACTCACGGCATCCCTATATAGTTTCTGAGGAGCGTCTGGTGGGTTTGAACCACTGACCTTGAAGTTCAAAGTGACCTTGGGGTCCAGTGCTTATCCTATAACACCACACCACCTAAAAACCAACTGCCAGCAAGTCAACATGAATTCATGGTGACCGCATGTGTGTCAGAGTAGAACTCTTAACCATAGGGTTTTTAATGTCTAAAGCCATTTCCAAAAGTAGAGTGCCAGGTCTCTGTTCCAAGGTGCCTCTGGATGGACTAAAACCTCTAACCTATTTAGCAGTCCAGTGCATTAACAATTTGCACTGCCAGAGACTCCCTAACTCACCTACCGGACTATACATCCTCAAGGTCTCATTCAGCACTGGCTTCTCATAATCAGCCCTTCAGTAACAAGTGTGGAATGAAGGGTCCTAGAGAAAGAGAAGAATTGCAATGCCGGGGATCATCAGAGGTTTCCAGGAAGATGCCATCTGGACCAATTGTAAATTCTTGGCTTATAAGCAGCATTCACTATCATTGTTTAGTGCCTTAGAGTCAGGTTCTGACTCACAGCAACCCTGTATAGAGTTTCCCAGCAGCTGCTGCTGGGTTTGAAGCGCCAACCTTGTGGTTAGCAGTTCAGTGCTTATCTTACAGCATCACACCTACACCTAGTCTGCTGACATCAGGGTACCAGGTAAGCACCTGGGAAGTTGGATGTGAATTATCCCACTTGACTACATTTTTAAATTTTTTATCGTTTATTTTACTAAGAATATACACAGCAAC